CCGGCACGCGTTAACGGCAACCGTAGCCGGCGAACATAGCCGTCTGTTGTACGTCACAGATGTGACAACGAGAGTTCGCTACCTCGTCGACACTGGCGCAGAAGTTAGCGTTCTCCCAGCAAATCATAACGACCGGCTCCACGAATCAACTCTAAACTTACAGGCGGCAAATGGAAAACCGATCGCCACGTATGGCAAAAGGTACGTCTACCTTAACGTGGGTTTACGCAAACCCATTCATTGGATTTTCGTTGTTGCAGATGTTTCTATGCCAATCATTGGTATGGATCTTCTACAACATCATAATCTAATCATCGACACGCGCAAACGGAGGCTAGTAGATGGAAACACTAAATTATCCGTTTGCGTAACTTCTTTTTCTGGTTGTAGATTATCCCCAGTCACAGTTAAGCATATGATAGACCCACTCTATCAACCACTACTCGACAAGTACCCTGGGATACAACAAGCTCAAACGAAACTACCGTGTGTAACCAGCAATGTTACACATCACATCACGACTACAGGACCACCTGTATTCTCTAAAGCACGACGACTAGCTCCGGAAAAGCTGAGGTTAGCGAAAAACGAATTCGATCATATGATAGACTTAGGAATCATACGACCGTCAAACAGCCCTTATGCATCTCCGTTGCACATGGTCCCTAAAAAGGACAGCAACGATTGGCGTCCAACTGGTGACTATCGGCGATTGAATGCAAAAACCATTCCCGATCGTTACCCGTTGCCTCACATTCACGATTTGACAGCTACCTTGAAAGGTACAACTGTCTTTTCGAAAATCGACTTGGTTAAAGCGTATAACCAAATCCCTATGGCTACAAACGACATACCAAAAACAGCTATCATAACTCCTTTCGGACTCTATGAATTTTTGCGAATGCCGTTCGGTTTAAGAAACGCTGCGCAAACTTTCCAAAGATTCATAGACGACGTCTTTCGAGGTCTCAACTTCGTACATGCGTATGTTGATGACTGCTTAATCGCAAGTCCGGACAGAGAATCACATCTCAAGCATCTGGATCTTGTTTTCGAACGATTACAAAAACATGGCATTACTGTAAACGTTCAGAAATGCCAATTCGGAACCGACTCGTTAGATTTCCTAGGACACACTATCGATGCTCAAGGCATTCAACCTCTTAGGACCAAAGTGGCGGCCATTCTAGATTACCCAGAACCGACCAACGTCAAGCAATTACGCACGTTTAGCGGCCTGGTAAGTTTCTATAGACGCTTCATACCGAAATGCGCATTACTTATGAAACCTCTTACTGACCAACTTCGTGGAAATGCGAAATCCATTAATTTGGACGACACCGCACGAAAAGCATTCTCCACAGTTAAGGAACTGATCGCTAAAGCAACAATGCTCGCACATCAGGACACTGAAGCACCCATTAGTATCGCAGTAGACGCATCCGACTCGGCAATCGGAGGAGTCTTACAACAATGGATTAACAACTCCTGGCAACCCTTGGCATTTTTCTCTAGACGGTTGCTAGACACCGAATCGAGATACAGCACATTCGGTAGGGAACTCCTAGCTATGTATTGTGCTGTACGGCATTTTCAACACTATATCGAAGGCCGTGAATTCACTCTATTCACTGACCATAAACCGCTCACTTTCTCGTTAAGCTCCTCTTCTGACAAGTACTCTCCCCGTGAGTCTCGACAACTGGACTACATTTCGCAGTTTACTTCAGATATTCAACATATTTCTGGAGCAAACAATGTAGTTGCAGACGCCTTGTCTCGAATAAATTCCTTGAACAGTTTCCAAGGAATCGACCTTCTTAAACTCGCCCAGCTTCAAAAAGAAGACACTGATCTTCAGCAAGAGTTATCGTCCACAACCCTTAAACTACGCATCAAACAGATGGGAACAGGTAAGGAAACCTTACTTTGTGACACATCTACAGGTAGAGATCGCCCAATCGTCCCGAAACATTATCGACGCAATGTCTTCAACACATTGCACAAACTTTCTCATCCAGGTGTTCGTGCAACCATCAAGCTCATAGCAGAACGTTTTTGCTGGCCTGGTATGAATAAAGACGTGAGGGAGTGGGCACGCTCCTGTGTAAGCTGCCAAAAATCTAAGGTCATCAGACACAATAAATGTCCCTTAGGCTCATTTAAAACTCCCGATGCTCGTTTCGACCATGTTCATCTGGATTTGGTAGGACCTTTACCAGATTCAAATGGATACTCTTACCTCTTGACCTGTGTAGATCGTTTCACTCGATGGCCAGAAGCAGTACCTATCAAGGACATCACTGCTGAAACAGTGGCCCGAACCTTCGTCGAACGATGGGTAGCAAACTTCGGTTGCCCTTCAACCATCACTACAGACCGCGGACGTCAGTTTGAGTCTGAACTTTTCCGTCGTCTGACCACACTATTAGGAAGCACTCGCTTCCGAACGACCGCCTACCACCCACAAGCAAACGGGTTGGTAGAACGCTTTCACCGACAACTAAAAGCTTCACTATCAGCTGCAAACGTTTCACAGTGGACCGACGCTCTTCCACTCGTCTTACTAGGTATCCGCAATGCAGTGAAAGCTGACATTGGATACACTGCGGCTCAACTCGTTTATGGAACAACACTTCGACTTCCAGGAGAATTCGTGGATCCTTCATCCTCTTCATTGAGCATGGATCTAACCTCTTACACGAACAGGCTTACAAACGCAATGCGTTCAGTTAAACCTGCTTCCACTCGACCTCAATCAACTGATGTTTTCATTCAACCTGATTTACGATATAGTACACACGTTTTCGTTCGTCGAGACTCGCATCGACGACCTTTCGAATCAGCATACGAAGGACCTTTCAAAGTTCTTCAACGCGAACCGAAGTACTATATAATCGATAAGAACGGAACCAACGATAGCATCAGCATCGATCGCCTCAAAGCAGCGTATTTAGAAGGAAATCCTATCTACGTGGATTTTCCTTCGGTACAATTGAACGACACGACTCCGACACTTATAATACCTCATCCGACAACCAACACTCATGATGATACTTCGACAGTATCCGAAAATAAACTTAAAACGACGCGTTCTGGAAGAAGAGTGAGATTTCCAGAACATTTAAATGACTATTGCACGTAAGGCACTTCTCGACATTTTCTATATTATTAAAAAAAAATTTTTTTTTAAATAGGTTTATATATTTTCATTTCTATTTTTAAAAACAAAAACAACAAAAAAAAACGATTTTTTTAACGCTGTTACGTGTTCATGAGTTTATTTTTCCTTTTTTACGCACATATGAGTGTATTTTCGACATGCACTTACATTTTCTTTCTTCTTTTCCAGGACGGCTGGAAAAGAACGATGACGTTTATGAGGATACGAAACTTTCATTGTACATTTCTTTTTTTACTATGTTGTACCCCGGTCCCATATAGTAAGGAAAGACGACCAGACGCTGCTAAATTTAGTAAGCTATCAGAAGAGTGTTTACCAACGACAAACTCGTTGGGTTTAAACTTCTGGCTGGCCACGTCTTAGGGTCATCACTGCCCCACTAGGGGGGGAGTGATCTGTAGCGGTAAATAAATCCCCAAACTAAATAGCTCAATAGGTTTTCGACATTGGATGCTGACCATATGTTTTAGTGGACTCATCTAGCTGAAGGCGCTCGGTCATGCATCCGCACCAGATCACGTGCTGTCACGCTGTGCTCAACAACAACCGCAATCACTAGCCAGATTAGATCAGAGATTCCCGATATATTGGTTATCGCCAAATACACTATTCCGATCTCCTCGACTCTGTCTTTTGATTTCTCTTGGTGGGAACAAAGCATATTAGAAGGTGTTATTGGTAGAAGCGTTGTCAAACACTGAATACCTGTATCATCCTCACTCTTATATGCACAATCAGTAGAGCTATGGGTTGTGAGCGAATCAATCAAACTTAAGATCAAAAGTCGTGTATTTCGGAGAGAAATTCGTTCATTCAAGTGTGTAGTGAGTTGAATTATCCATTTCCCATTTCAATTTTAAGATTGTCCTAATCTGAAGCTCATTTTATTTTTAACTATCTTTTGCTTTCCCTGGTAAATACAAGTGCATTCTGTGCACTTGCTGGGTTATCGACTGCCCTATTCTTTTGTTTTTCTCTTTTCCAGCCCTCCGCATTCATGTTGCTCTGCATCACCTTCTAGTGTACAAAAAGCTTTCTGGTAGACGCGAACCGCTGCAAATGACATGTCTCTTATATACGGGATCTACTGGCCTTGAATTTCTAAGAAGTCACCACAAATTTGTGACCTAACTTAATATGCAAACATCTTCATTCGGTGAGACAATTATCTACAGACGAGCCAATTGGATTCAAGACAGTAGGTCTTGGATTTCGAGAGGAAGTCCATTTATTAGTTTGGCCAAATAGTATTTGACTGTAGAGCTGATGTCAGTTCCCTATGAAAACCCTTAGTCTTTTTTTTCATCAATACATACTAGCTCTAAATCACAATCTTAGATCCTAGTAACTAGTACTATCGTCCAATTCATACTCCAGTGGTCATTTATGAGTCATTATACAAGTCGTAGAGAACTTTGTGGACACAGTCAAAAATAATGTATATGGAATTTGTAATAAGCTCGTGATAATTTGAGCCGGTTACCCACTGAGAAAATGGAAGATGGCCGTGTAGATATCGTAGATTGGTTGATGTTCGAGATTAATACCGTTGAAACCCGGATTGGTTGTATAATGGTTAAACGTTAGCGCGAGACAAAAGGTCTTGCGTTCGCAGTAGCTACCTTGATTTTAATTAGATTATTTCAAAAAACCGCGACCTGTCTTTGATAATCAGACTCACTTCGTTTCTTCCAAGTGTCACTATCAATTCAGTTACTGACTTTAATTAAAAAAATCATACATTTCAACGAATTTTCTGAGTCACTTTATAGCAGTACTTATTTTTGCTACTGGCTATCTTTGCAAGAGTATCGTCTGTAAGATCCATTTTGAATGCTTTGTGTGTTCGTGAAAATCCCTCCATGTATATACTTGCACTTTGTTCCTATTGATTCTTTTAGTCGTACAATGTTAACTTTTTGACTACAGTTGAATTGTTAATATTTGTATTTTATTATAGTTTTTGTTTTTACCACACCTTCACTAATTCCCTATGCTTCTTCCCGAACTGCACTTATGTTGTTTTACTTTATACTAAGTCTTGGCGGCAGCCATTTTGGTTTGTTCCTGTTTGTGATTGCTTGACCTGCGTTGACTGGGACTGTGCATTTTTGTTGTGAATTGAAGCACTCTTCCAGAATTGAAAACACTCTGGGTTATAGAGCGACCAAGTATTACCTTTTGAACGAATCTGTACGTGATCTATCCAGACAGGATAGAATAACATTTATTTGTGGTGATTGGTAATTTTCTTGCATCCTTTATCAACGTTCTTATTTATTATAGTTTAGAGTTGATCAATTAAACAATCATTGGTTGGATAGCTGAGTGGTTATATTTGTTTAGGTAATAATGTACACTTAAATTTATGATAAATTATAGAACCGCTATCTTACCCAATTACTTTGTTTTGGTTTCAATCGGGCGAGGGCGCGTATCTAACTCATCCAGACAGCTGTCCAGCAGTCCAAACGTAGTTTGGATCTTACAGTTCTAAACAAATATTTGGTCGAATTCGTTTGGCTTTCGTTTCGTTGATTCCAATCATCGTCTCTGGGAATATCTGGTCGTTCGCTTCCGATGCCAAACAATCGTCGAAGGAAATTAAGTCCAAGGCTTGTGGATGTTAAAAGAGATGAACAAAAGGATGGATCCCCTCAATCAAAGCAAGTGCCTTCTGATGCTTCTATGTGTCATGGTTCATATTCTAATAGGGACGATTGTAATTATAGTGAATCTAGTTGTGATATAATGTCAGATGGCATAGAAAACCTTAATTTAGACGTGAAGCAAGCAAAAGACGTAAGGCCGTCGGCGTTTTTCATAGGTCCAGAGTTACCAAAGGTTGAGTTAAGTTATTTCGACGGTCAACCAAGAGGTTACTGGAAGTTTTTAAGGGAGTTTGAGACCTATGTGGAATCAAGGGTCAAGGATGATGGTCAACGCTTGCTTTATTTGATACATTATTGTAAGGGTAAAGCGAAAACAGCCATTGAGGGTTGTGTTATGTTGGAAGCCTCTTTTGGTTACAAAAAGGCCAAAGAAATTCTAAAACGGTTGTTCGGACAGGCGCATGTAATCGCTCGGGAGACTTTAGAGGACTTATTCAAAACTACAAATGTTGATTACAGTGATCCTGAGCAACTAACAAATCTAGCTATTAGGATGGAAAATTGTTCTATGGTTTTGAAACAGATGAAGTATACTGCCGACTTAAATTCTTTAATTACCTTAGAGAGAATAGTAGGACTCTTACCTCAAGTTATGCAAGCCCAATGGGCGGACTGGGTAGATGAATTGACTGAAGATAATAGAGAACCGACCTTTGACGAGCTTACACAATTTATAGCATCCCGCGCGAGGGTAGCTAATAGTAGGTTTGGACGGTTAGCGAATCGTCCGAGAAAGGGACACAACGTAAAGACAAATTGTCACTTGCAATTGGAGCAGGCGAATAATTCGAAAGAGAAAGCTAAATGCAGTGTGTGTTCCCTAGACCATGCTATTTATAAATGTCCAAAATTTTTAGCGCTTACCGTTCAAGAGAGATGGTCTCACGCGAAGGTTAATGGCATCTGTTTTGTCTGCCTCAGGCAAGGGCATAAAGTTAGTGAATGTAAGCTGGCAAAACGTTGTAACGTTGAGGGTTGTGAAAGGAAACACCATTCTTTGTTACACAGCGAGAGTGAGAAACCTGGTACCTCGAGTTGTTGCGGATATACTAAATCACTAATCAGTCAAGTGTGTTTAGGCATGATTCCCGTACGGTTGAAATCGCGAAAAGCCGAGATTGTGGGTTACGCTCTGTTGGACAACGGTTCTGATGTGACACTGATAAAATCAAACTGTTTGAGGTCTCTCGGGCTGAGCGAAGACGAAGCATCAGTGGTAGTTGAGACTGTGGGCGGTATTAGAACAATGAAGGTCACGAGTGCGCCTTTTGAGGTACATTCTTTAGATCAATCTGAACATGTTACTATTGAAGGAGCTCTGGTTGTAGCGAGTATACCAGGTCATAAGCCAACAAAATCAGCAATGAACAACCTAGTTAAGTGGCCGCATTTAAGTGATGTGCCAATAGATAGCCTAGACTCTGAAGAAGTTTTACTGTTGATTGGTTGTGACGTACCAGAAGCACATTGGGTGTTAGACCAACGGTTGGGTGGAAGGAAGAACCCGTACGCTGTGAAAACGTTGCTGGGGTGGACGGTTTTCGGACCCGCGTCATATTCGGAACATAGGAAAAGAGTTGTTAATCATACCAGTAAATTACAGACTTTGGAGAACGAAATACGTAAACTTTACGATGTAGAGTTTTCTGATGTTTATTCAAATGATAAATCAGTATCACTAGAAGATAGTGCAGCTATAAGGATTGTGGAAGAGGGCACACGCTTTGAAAATGGTCATTTTGTAGTTCCTATACCATGGAAAGTGAACCCAAATATGAAAGGGGGGAACTATGAAGTGGCAAGCAGTAGACTACAGAGTTTGAAGCGTAGATTGTTGAAGGATGACATTCTGTATATCAAGTATACGAAAGGTATTGAAAGTAATTTTATTAAGGGCTATGCGGAGAAGATCCCTGAAATGCAATTGCAACCTAGTTATCGCCCCCGGTGGTACTTACCTCATCATGCAGTTATAAACCCGAAAAAGCCAGAAAAACTGAGAGTGGTCCTAGACTGTGCCGCCAAATTTGCAGGCGTTTCTCTAAATGATATGATTTATCAAGGACCCGACACAACTGCTGAGTTAGTGTGTATATTATTGCGTTTTCGCAAAGAAGCAGTCGCAATCTCTGCGGATGTTGAAGAAATGTTCATGCAAGTGAAGGTCCCTGAGTCTGATCGAGGAGCTTTAAGATTTCTGTGGTGGCAGGAGGGAGATATGTCGAGAGAACCTTCCGAGTTTCAAATGACATCTCATCCATTTGGTGCCATATCTTCGCCGTTTTGCGCGAACTTTGCCTTGAATAAGACGGCCCAAATATTCTCTGATGGGTATGATGGCTATGTCGTAGATGCTGTTAAAAATAATTTCTATGTTGATGATTGCTTGATATCCTTTTCTACTTGTGACCAAGCAAAGAGTTTCGTTAAGCAGATAAGTGAATTATTATGTAGAGGAGGCTTCAAACTAAAGAAATGGGTTACCAACTCGGAGGAGGTAAGGACCATCTTGCCTGATGTATGTAAAGAGCAGTCCTTGATAGAAATGTCAACGAGTTACGACACTACTCATCGAACCCTAGGTGTAGAATGGGATTTTAAACAAGATGTATTTAAGTTTTACTTTGATACACCGGAAAGGCCTCTGACTAGGAGAGGTATTCTATCTATAGTTTCTTCTCTGTTCGATCCTCTGGGTCTAATTGCTCCAGTCTGTCTTACTGCCAAACTGCTCTTGCAAAAATTATGTAAGTCCCAAATAGGCTGGGATCAGCCTCTGAACGAGCCATACATATCCGCATGGCTAAGCTGGGTAAATTTTATGCGTCAGATAGGTCACGTCACGATAGCTCGAGGTATCAAGAGGAGAATCGACGAACCCGACGCGAAAGTGGAATTGCACTTGTTCAGTGATGCTTCAGAGGTTGGTTATGGAGCAGTTGCTTACGCACGAGTCAGTTATTTGAAGGAACCACCATATTGTATCTTGTTGTACAGCAAGTCTAGGGTAGCACCTATCAGACAAGTCACTATACCGAGACTTGAGATGGCGGCAGCGGTGTTAAGTGTGAGGCTTAGTGAAGTATTACGGAGAAGTCTGCCTAATTTTTTCTGCAAAGTAAACTTCCATACAGATTCCATGATAGTGTTATACTACATTAAGAATGTCGAGAACCGATATAGCACCTATATAGCCAACCGCCTCGCCGTGGTTCACCAGTATACGAAGGTTGAACAATGGAATTATGTAAAGTCGTCACACAATCCAGCTGATTGGACTTCAAGAGGTATACAAAAAATGAATGATCATGAATCTTGGTTCAAATGTCCTAGTTTACCGCACGTCGAATTTTGTATAACAATCACTGGTTGTTCGGAGCCTACTCCTGACGATATTGAGTTTAGAAAAACTGCTGTGGTCAACTTGAGTAGTATAAAGTACAATATGTCACCTATTCTCTCTTATTATTCCGATTGGTTGAAATTATTCAGCACCGTAGTCTGGCTTACAAGGTTCATAGAATTCCTGATATATCTTCGTTCACCGATTCATGAAGGATCCGTTCATCTAGGATGTTCAAAGGTCAAAGAGTTTGGCATCGCCAAGCGTAAAATTTTATTGATGGTTCTGAAAGAAGTGTATGGAGAAATAATTAGTGCATTTAAAAACGGTGGTAAAGTAGGTAGTCACAATGATCTGAAGGGCTTATCACCGATAATGCTGGATGGGTTACTCTGCGTTGGAGGTCGACTAAGCCACTCAGACTTCCCAAATGTCTTTAAACATCCAATAATATTGCTCAGTCGACAATTAGTGACAGAAATGATAATAAGACATTATCATAAGGAACAAGGGCACACAGAAACGTCACAAGTACTGGCCACGATTCGGAAAAGTTATTGGATAATAAAAGGGACCAGCACGGTTAAGAGAGTGATAGGAAAGTGTGTGATCTGCCGGCGGTATACGATGGTTACAGGGCAACAATTGATGGCACCACTTCCAGCTTGTAGAGTGCAACAAGGATGGTATAGCTTCTCGGCCGTGGGAGTAGATTACTTTGGGCCCTTTTTTGTCAAACGAGGAAGGTCACTAGAAAAAAGATATGGATGTGTAGTTACTTGGTTGCAAACCCGAGCAGTACATATTGAAATGACACATAGTTTGAATACTGATTCGTTTATGATAGCCTTACCACGCTTTATTGGAAGAAGAAGGAAACCTGCAGAAATTTACAGTGACAATGGGTCAAAATTCGTGGGTGCGGTCTCTGAACTAAGGAGATTTGTGCATCAGTTGAATCAGCAGAAAATAGACAAGGAACTGTCAGCTAGACACGTTCAGTGGCATTTTAAAACGCCCTCATCCACCCAGAGAGGTAGAGTTTGGGAAAGGATGATTAAGTCCATACGCCGACTGTTATTGTTGGAAAATAGAGAGCAGACTTTAACCGATGAAACCTTTAGCACTTATTTGATTGAGATTGAAAGGAAATTGAGCAATCGACCATTAACTACGGTCATTCAAGATGCTAAGGATAAGCTAGCCACGTCGCCAAACAGTTTCTTATTATTAAAATAATGTGACGGAATATTCGAAGAACGTAGCATCAGAGATAAATATGACAAACGTTGGAAACAGGTTCATCATCTTGCTAATGTGTTTTGGAAAAGGTGGTTAAGAGAGTATTTACCATCCCTACAAAAACGTCAAAAGTGGTTAGTTGAACACCGCAATTTTCAGAAAGGGGATGTAGTGATCGTGGCTTCGGACATATCGACGCGTGGAAAATGGCCCTTAGGAGTAGTTGAAGATTGTGAAATAGATGACGACGGAAGAGTTAGAACAGTGGTTGTTCGTACGAACGGTGGATTAGTCAGGAGAGATATACGTAGATTATGCCTCCTTGAAGGCTCGAATTAGTTCCTCGTATTATCAATGTAGGTAGGTCGAGTAGGCGTACTGTTGTAAGTCCTATTCATTCCTATAGTGTCATCTGCTACATAATGAACCATGACCATAGGCGTCAAGGTAGCTTGTGTGATATGGAGGGATTTTGGGGGCCGGTGTAAGATCCATTTTGAATGCTTTGTGTGTTCGTGAAAATCCCTCCATGTATATACTTGCACTTTGTTCCTATTGATTCTTTTAGTCGTACAATGTTAACTTTTTGACTACAGTTGAATTGTTAATATTTGTATTTTATTATAGTTTTTGTTTTTACCACACCTTCACTAATTCCCTATGCTTCTTCCCGAACTGCACTTATGTTGTTTTACTTTATACTAAGTCTTGGCGGCAGCCATTTTGGTTTGTTCCTGTTTGTGATTGCTTGACCTGCGTTGACTGGGACTGTGCATTTTTGTTGTGAATTGAAGCACTCTTCCAGAATTGAAAACACTCTGGGTTATAGAGCGACCAAGTATTACCTTTTGAACGAATCTGTACGTGATCTATCCAGACAGGATAGAATAACATTTATTTGTGGTGATTGGTAATTTTCTTGCATCCTTTATCAACGTTCTTATTTATTATAGTTTAGAGTTGATCAATTAAACAATTATTGGTTGGATAGCTGAGTGGTTATATTTGTTTAGGTAATAATGTACACTTAAATTTATGATAAATTATAGAACCGCTATCTTACCCAATTACTTTGTTTTGGTTTCAATCGGGCGAGGGCGCGTATCTAACTCATCCAGACAGCTGTCCAGCAGTCCAAACGTAGTTTGGATCTTACATCGTCAACTTAAAAGCTGAAACTGTGTGCAAGAAATAGTAATGAACCTATGTTTGCTTAATTTCTGGTGAAATTTCATATATATAGGACCAGTGAAATGTCACTGAGCCCTAGCCAAATTATCTGGCAGTCGAGTCACTAAATACCGAACAGATCATCGATCCCCGTCAATGTCAAGGACAACGGACGCACATCAATTAACCGTATGCCATGTACTGGCTAATGCGTTTGTTGTCACGATTTCGCTGTACCTACTTTAACCAATGAAATTCTGTAATAACGTGCTTTGTATTGTACGGTCTTCAAAGCCTTAATAGTACCTTGATACGACGAGCGGGCAATGCACGTTGGATGATGATCTCGGGGTGTGACACCGACGTTAACTTTTGGTCACACTATTCGTGTCTAACTCGGGTAGGCCCCTAATCATTCGACAGAGATCATCAACATTGATGAATTACATATCTTTACCTTTCGCATATGAGTCTGATTTATTTTCTAAAATATAATGGCCTGGTGGCCTATATATATAACTAGACAGGGTAATATCAGCAGCTCAGTAAGAGTTATTATCGCTTGAGGCAGAAACACAACAGTTATAACGCCAAAGAAGGTTACTACTCTTACCATTAATCTATTTGTAACGCTAAGGACGTTGCGATGCCACGTACCGTAAAATTATGAAAACATTTTTAAATCAGTTTTGTGATTAAAAAATAGCTCTGCAAATTTATTTAGAATTAATTTAGACCTTTCACTTCTCACAAGGTAGAAATAAGAAAGTATCACGAAAAGATGTTTCGATGCCACAGTGTCTCTGCCAACCTTCTTGAGGGACTAGCAGCTGTTGATTCCTTTTCCAGTATAGTGTATCCCTCCAACGGGAATGTACTCTCTGTGTTCTGCACCATAGGTTGCTGACCAAAGTCTACGGACACCAAGATGTGTTTCATTGGGCCCTTTTTCTGTTGCACTGTCGATAAGGGATGGCTTTTACAACACTCGATGTGACTGCAGAGGTAGTTTATAGAGTTGTACTGGGCTTGATGTGGCTCAGCAAAGTCTTAATTTCCGAAGCTCATAGTAATCAGACTTTATGTCCGTGATGCTTGACGGAAGAAAAAGCCTGGAAACAATAATTGTAGTCGTGTGAACATACAGAGAAATATCCTAGCTTTGTCCTGGTACTGCCCTGTTAGCTTACGTTTGGTTCGCTGGTTACAAGTTGATATCATAATATAAACAACATAACAGACTGAGGTGTTACACTTTACCAGCGCTGAACCTTATTTGCTTGGCCGTTGTTTTCCAATGGCTGCACCACTCTCTAACAAGCTTTCTGTGACTCTAGAACATCGAGTAAAATCAAGGAGACCTATCTGACGTCTTTGTCCTCGTTCCTAACATTTTGAGAAGCATTTTATTGCTATTTTTCTTCCTAAAGTTTGCTCAATGCATCTAAATATTATCAGGTATTTGGTATTGGAACGATCGGTAACCTCATTGGTGTAATAGCTAGGATTGCATCTCCCATATTCGAGTGTTTAACTAAGCCTGTGTTTGACGAAGGGTCTGACGCTCCTCTTTATTAGTCCAATTAGTGTGCCTTGTCTACATATTGGATAAACGTAACGGGAACAGCGGAAAGCGTTGACTTAACATAAATCCATAGTACTATAACAACTTATGTCCATTGGTTAAGAGTTGGTGATAGACATCTAAGTGAGTGTCTGAACATTAAAGCTCAGATACTCATTTACTGTCTTATTTTGTAAAGGGATCGTACTTCCCATTATTTTAAATTGAATGTTGTAAAGCTCTACGTGTTTGTAAAGGTGACTTCGCGCTTCACACCACCTTCGGAGATTTCAAAGTAAAGATCTATTCACCATTAGTTTGGTTTCTTCTATCGAAAGAACGAAGGGTATCCAGAAACACGAAACTTACTTACTTACTTACTTACTTACTTACTTACTTACTTACTTACTTACACCTGTTACTCCTCGTGAATGAGCATAGGCTGCTCACCGCCATTCTCCATCCAACCCTGTCCTGAGCAATCCTTTCTAGCTCCTTCCAGTTCCTATTCATCCTTTTCATATCTGCTTCGATTTCCCGACGTAAGGTGTTCTTTGGCTTTCCTCTTTTCCGCTTCCCTTCAGGATTCCAAGTTAGGACTTGTCTCGTGATGCAGTTTGATGATTTGCGTAATGTTATTTCCTATCCATTTCCATCGTTTCTTCCTAATTTCTTCTTCAGCTGGAAGCCGGTTTGTTCTCTCCCAGAGAAGGCTGTTTCTGATGATATCCAGCCAATGGATTTTGAGTATCTTGCGTAGAAAATCATTTATAAATACTTGTACTTTCTTGGTGGTGGTTGTTGTAGTTGTTTAAGTTTCAGCTCTATACAGTAGAATTGCCTTGACGTTCGTACTGAAGATTCTCACTTTGAGTTCCACATGCTCTTCAACTGTAGGAATGCGGTCCTTGCTTTGCCAACTCTCGCCTTTACATCTGCATCTGAACCTCCTTGTTCATCGATGGATTCTACATCTTCCAGAG